CGTTCATCCCGCAAGCAACAGCGTTCCCATCACTTCGCAGAAGCACTGAATGACCACCTCCTGCAGAAACTTGAGTGTAGCACATTCCCTCTTTCACAGGTGGAATGTTGCATTGTCCAAAAATGTTTGCTTCCGCAAGTAACAGCGCTCCCATCACTTCCCAGAAGGACTGAATGAATAAATCCTGCAGAAGACATTGCCACAAGCGGGAGAACAATATGAGTAGAATTTGCATCTTGGGCCAAAAGTTTCTCTTTGTGTCTTTTGTTTTCCTGCGAAATGACTCTAGGATGTGCCTGTGAAAGCCAAGCAAATCGCCCCAGCAGCCATGTTGCACCATCGGAAGCCACCGACGAAAACACACTGCCAAGTTGACATGTTTTTTCACGCACCACTCCCGCTGACTTCCCGCCACGAGGTGATGGGACAAAATGGAGGTTGGGTGATGGGACAGAGCAAACTTGGATCGTGAAGTTGGTGGGTCAAATCTTGTGAGCCACAAAGAATGTGCCTTCCCCTTCTCCCCGTTGCTGGGAAATCGACACCAATACAACTCTCCTTGGCCCAGCCGGGCAAGGGTGGAAAAGCTTTGGAAAACCCCATCAACTCACGGTGGGCGGTGAGATTCAGTGGAGGTCACCTGATGCAGCCAACTACTTACTACTCAATATCATCTTGCGCCTCCCACGCTGCGAATTTGGTAACAAGCCTAGGGCAGGGTCACCTGGAAGGAAGGCCATCCCTGGAAGGATCCCTGTCGATCGGCATCAAGGGCCGATGGTCGAACCAAGAATCATAGAAGCTCCTGGCCCTCTCGTAGTCTTGTTCGACACCAAGCCCCTGCGGCTGAAGGTTGTGTCAGCGTCAATAGAGGCTGAATCGGTTGCTGATGAATCAGCAAACGAAACCGCTGAATAGATCTCATGCACAGAAATGCATTGTCTGGTTGGGTGTTAAACCATCCCATATTCTTCTCAATTGGATGATTGTAGCAACATGGGATAGATGATCATTTGATAGTTGTATTCCTGGCAACCCACAGGATTTTGCAGACAGGTGTTTTTCCATTTGGCTGATTGAATTCATCTTCATGCCGGCTATCTGCTATCTTTTATCCCGATCAACCAATGAAACGGGTCACGAACCGTCGCCGGAGAGAAACCCAGCAGCACGATCGCTCTCAGGGGCAAAACATGAAAAACATGCTGTGGTGGTCCTGCAGGGTGAAAATCAAAAGCTCCGATGGGACATAAAACATCCTTTAGGCCCTTCCTAGATATCGTGCAGTTGTTTCTTTTTGGGTGGCCCAGATTCATGATCTAGGGCCTAGGGTCTGGGCCCATCTAAAAATCCTTAAAATGCCGGGCCAAGCCCTTCAGAACAACGTCCTTTTTGTTTGCTCGCTCTCGTTTTTGCAGGCCACACACGCCATTTCCCGCCGGCCTGGGCGTAGAGGACGCCCAAGTTGCACTGGGCCGCCGCATGGTTTTGCTTGGCTGCGAGGCGGCAGAGCTCCACAGCACGAGAGAGGTCCTGGAGGAGCTCGTGCGGCGCTCCGCGTCGCTCCGATGCTCCGCACCCGGAGGTTGGTTCGACGTTCGTTCTTCGGTCACCGAAGTGGTACATATCATACAGTTCCGAAACGGAACGCACTCCTCACTGGTATGGACCATGAAAAAAAGCTGTGGTATGGCAGCAAATATCAAAAATCGTATATATATATATATAAAATATATGACCAATCAGTCAGCACCTCCCAAGGACTTTGGCCTTCCACCACACTGCTGGGTCCTTTGGCCTTCCGTGGCCCGTGAGCAGGGCAGCACCAAGGGCATACTGTGCCTGTGGAAGCCCAACCGGCGCGACTGCGCCAAGCAGAAGGTATAGGAGAATGATGGACACCGAAACGGCAATTTGCTGGTCGTGTTTCATTCTGAGGTAGGTTGCCGTCTTGTTTCGCAAGCATTCGCAAGCTCACATGACACCAACACCGAAGGAAAAAAGAGCTCGCCCGGCCTCAGCATTGCCCAACTCTGCCGCGCGTTCCAGCAGTGCTGGATCCATCATGAACCGCCCACTGCGACAAGCGCAGGACAGTGGGAACACATGCTTTCCTTGATCACGACTCAGGAATCGCTGGACAGGACCCGCACCAGCAAGCCGCATGGAGACCTTCTTTTCATCTACCTCCAGTTGATGTGCTAGGGCCTAGGGAGATAAGAAAACTAGAGGCTGATTTGGCAGACCGCTCAGATTCTTTGCATGATCGTATCAAAATCTCCACAGTCTTGAGAAAGAGTTGCACAAAGAATCCTGTTGTTAGGCAAGGTGCCAAGCACGTTGACAACCTGTGACACTTGCAGCCTGTGCCTTCGCCTTGACAGGCACAGCTCCCGTTTAGGGAGTCGATGGATTGGTGAAATCCCTTACTCCAGCTTGCGACGTGCAAGTTTCAGAGGCAATACGTGCTTCTGTCTGCTGTCGGAGACAAGTGTCTAGTACACGAATTAATTAGTGTGAAAATATGTGAATATGATGAGATAAATACCTAGTCATACCTAGTCCAACAAAAGATCTCGACCAGCTCGAAGGTCATGTTCACACCTCACGTCTTGTATCTTGTTGCTGTGATAAGCCGAATCAGCTGCGCACGATGGTATCAGAAGAATCCGCTGCTGTGTAGATCAAGTCAAGACGTGCTCGTGAAAGTTTGGAACTCGCATGCTACTCAAGCACTCACACCTGGAGACATGAGTATACTTGAGCTGGGGGAAATATACTTGATCAGAAAAGAAACAGATCAAAGTTGGGAAAATCAAAGCATTTGACGAGCTCTCGGGATTGGGGAACTCCCGGCATCGCTCCGAGTTTGGCTCCCTGTTTAATGGGGAAGGACTGGATACCCCCAGCTCCTTATCTCCCTGAGCACCAGCTAGTCGATCGCACAAACTGTCCATTTAGATATCTTCCAATCCTTCTGCCCCAGGAGATTTGCACGCCGTTTTTTCCAGGAGAATTGCCCGACTTACAGCACGACGCGGAAATCAAAGGACGCCTGGAACGGAGGCTGAGCATGCTTGCGGACAGGGAAAGTGGCACGACGTCCTGTTGATGGTGGACCCACGATGTCCCATGTATCTTCATGTATCTTCCAAAGATTGGGTCTCTCCAGGTTTCAAGGGTGGAAATGCAGACTCAAGCAGGTCCACCCGTTGTCGTCTTTCGGGTCGAAGCAGGTCCACCCTGCCCGCCTCGGCCTAGCCGCTACAGAAGCCATTGACGGAGCCTGGCCACCACCATGGGTCTCCATGCAGGGTGATTGATCTATCTCGTTTCCTGGCCAAACATGGCCAAACGCTTATCACATAATATCACCGTTTTGCCTTTGATTCGGCGCACCAACAGCCATAGAGCACTCCGCAAAGCCGGGCACAAACGTCAATGAATGCACTTGAGTGGCAGGAACTCGGCCAATGAAAGCGATGACTTCAGAGTTTCATCACAACTAGCTCTGATAGGGTCTCACAGGGTCTTAGGATAATGCTCTGGTTTAAACAATAATGGAGTAAACATAGTGGTTGGATGGTGAAACAAACAGGAAAATCTGATGGAGTCCATAGGTACACTTGCAGGGCATTTCAAGATCCCAAGGTCTATTTCCCACATGTATGCCACGAGCGCGCACTGAGAAAGACCAGGGAGATTCAAAAAGCTGACCCTAAAATGCCCTAAAAATGACTGCACAGTCAACCAATGGCCGGCGACGAGGAACTTGTAAACCGTGCACATTCAACCCACCGTGCAAACCAGGTGTCTATGCTCCCATGTCCAAGCGTTTTCCGGTGGTCAGACAGGTCGCGGCCTCTGTGTCCAAGGAAGCCTTTGGCGGCTTGCCGTTTTCCATCTTGAAGTGAGAAGGCAGCAATCTCACCTGACCCAGGCCACAGGGAGACAGGGAGAGTGCTTGGCCACAACCCACTTTGGTGGCCAGCGTGTGGTGGAAAGCCGGAAGAAAGTTCAAAAAAGCACCTTAAAGCCGAGAGAGAAACGGAATGACTTCTTGTTACTACTAGTAAGGCACTTGTTACTACTAGCGTGGCACTTGTTACTAATAGCTTCTTGTTACTACTAGTTTAAAGCCGAGAGGTCTATGTTCCACAATATCCCTAGATTCAAGGTGGACTGTTGAGCGGAGCCGGAAAAGTTCTTAATGTAGTCCTTCAAAATATCCCCTGCTTGGGGGAAACCTTCGGCCTGTCATCGGTATGCCAGCAGCACGTTCAGAATTAAAAGTGATCTGGCCGCAGAATTCCCCCCTTGTTGAGGTCAGGCAGGGCCTGTACATTTGAGGATATCGCCCTCTGGAGCGGTTTTCCTTGTGATACAGGGAGGTTGTTCGAGGTTACTCTGAAAAGCCACATGTCTGTATGATAAGTGGGTTACATGTTCAATGACATATAGAACCAACTGGAACAGAAAACTGCAGAAAGGAAAAGGGAAAGATCTCGGGCACATACCAGTGAAAGTGAGTACCATCCATAACTCTGGGCATCAATTGTCTCGCCATCTAGCTTTGACATACATCATGTGGCTGCCCCATGTGGCTCGCGAATCCAGCACAAAAGCTAAATGCATCCTGGGGATCTTCTTTTCAACACAAGACTTCGCAGGGATGACTCTCAGACCAGCAAGGGGGCCAAGAAAATCTATCTTTCCAATGCACCTGGCCAGCCCAAATGGGTGTTGTAAGATTTGTTTTGGTCTTCTTCTGTGGTGCACATGCAAAACTTGCAATGGACACTTATCAAGAAACCAAGTTGCCATGGTTCAAATAGCCCACATAGAGCCTGAGCCAGCATGGTGGGATGGGCTCAAAAGTATCTTATATTATATCTGATATTGATACTGGGTCGCACAAAAGATTGAGCGACGCGAGCAATGAAGCTTCACGAGGACTGCTTCAGATCATGGGCAAATATGGGCATGTATAGCAAGTAAGCAAGTATGTAGGTCTAGTCGATGTTGCTTGTTGTTGCTTGACCCTTTGCAAAACAGCTCAGCCCAACTGTCTTCAGCCCCGCTTTCCATGTCAAGGCCCCGCCTGTCGCCTTCAACTTTAAAGACATACGGGGTTTTGGCGTCCTGCGAGAAAGGTGCATGGCCCGGCCAGTTTGAAGAAAAAACGAAAGCCCGGGCTGAATGATGCTTTCACATCCTTCCACCAAGCGTATGTCGCAGTCATCCAGTTTCATGTCGTTTCACCCATCAAACGGTTGCAGGTCGTTCCATATCTCAGACTCGGCCGTGAAACGGCCATTTCTTCGAGTCCTCGGCCGTTGGGGTGACTTTGATGCTCATCAACAGCTGCCGTGAACCAGCTGCAAACTTCTTCACCTCAAGTGCGAGACGGTGACTACGGTCACGGTGGTGCTGTCAGCCCGGTAGGCCCAGCTACTTCACACTGCTGCTGGAGTCTTTGGGTGTACACACCGCGCATGGCGCATTTAGCACTGCACTGGGGCACCACAAAAAGATCTTCATAAGACGGTCTTTCAACGCGCACACTACACTGGGCTGCTGCTGCTAATGCCCGACACAAAGCCAGCCGATCACATAACAAAGGTCACTAGGGTGTCCAATAGATGGTGTAACTCTCATGCATGTGTTTCAGTAAGCCATAAATTGTTTTGTCGCATTTTACGCCATACATATTTAATGCTCCAAACTGCAAACCTCTTGGGACACTTGAAGGTTGAAAGGAGATCATCTGGAAACATCTACTTCATGATCTGATTCACAAATTTGCATCCCCAGAAAAGGAACAACATGACATGGGTCACACCTCTTAGAACAGATTGAGACAATCTTCCTCTTCCAGTTGAGAGTACCTGTCTTCCGGCAATCTGGTGCCAAGACACTGTGAAGTCGCGACAAAGAGCTAGGACAATGTCTTTCCCAGCAGTTGTGGCTTGCACCACAGGCTTGGAGCACTTGTAGGTCCTGGCTAGTCACTTGGGGTGTTCGAGTCTGGGCTTGACTGCTTGATGTGTCCAGTCAAGACTACCTGGAGAAGAACCGAGTTGATCTGATGCCCCCCTTCGGATCCTTCGGTGAACGTGAAAAACACCTCCAGTGGAGCGAACGGATGCCGGTTCTGTCTGATTGGATCTTCGCTCATCTCCCAGCATCCACTCCTCACATCGCGGATGTTGTCGGGCACCAACTCGCCCGTGTTGGAGAAGAGTCGGATGCTGGCAACCTAGCAAGAAACGGTCACCCAACAAGGAAAGAAACAAAACGTGATAAACGAAAGCTCTAATATACTAGTGACAGCCCCAGATATAGAAAAGCTCATGGATGGTGTTATTTTGAAGGTTTAGGTGTATGTTGGTGTCTGCCGTGTAAGGTGGAGTCTGGCGAATGTTCGCTGCCATTGCTTTCAGCAGGAGAGTTGTAAAAGTGCGCTTTTAGTTGAAAGATATGACTTATGATTCCGCTCAGGCACATTGATTTTGGGGGGGTGCTGGCTAGGTCGTTAGCATCTGTTGGGGACGCCTGCGGGTATAAAAAAGGCCAGGTTGGGCGGAGACATCCTCCAGTAAAACACCTCATGTCCAGTTAAATTCCAGTATCAGTATAGCTACGTCGTCTTTGAATCTGATAGCAGCATGCAGTTGCAAAGCATTAGACTCATTAGACCACGTGTTGAAAGAGGAAGAGGTTACATTCGAGAAGAGTTGGGGAAGAGTTGCCTCTTGGGCTATGTAGTTCTTGAGTTGCTTTCTTAGTTCAGCCAAAAATGGCACCTGACTTGCTGCCATGAATGCAAAATGTGGGTTATGGTCGTGGAAGCAGGTGCAGGCCAGAGATTCAATTCAAAGGCAGGTCTCACACTAAAAGAACTAAAGAAACCACGGATCCTCGCAAAGTAGGTTCTATACAAGGGAAAACTCATGTGGATTTGCAAAAAAAGCTTCGTCGCCCAAGTTCAAGGGATGCTCCGAGAAATTCCAGACACTGAAAGAGAATCACCACTGAATCGAAGGGTATTGGAACAAGCTCGTTGAAGCACATTGACCTGCGCATGAGGGGAGGATGCGAGTGACTCTTCAGGGAAGCCCATCTTTTCCAGCCAAATCATCGAGGCCAAAGGACGACATAATCTATCACAGTTGCCATTCTACCGCCACGATGCACCCCGGCACGAGCCCATCTTTTCCTGCTCACTGGTGCAGCACCCGTCACCCCGGCCCGTCCCCGTGTCCCCGGAGTGTTTTCGGGTCCAGGTCCGGTCACCACACGACAGCTGGGCAGGCCACCTTGTCCTCGTCGCGGTCTGGGACTAGGAGTCGGTCCTCACAGATCTCCAGGCTGCAAACAAAGCCTTGGGCCTCCGATCTCGGACGGGCCTTCCGTTTTTTTTCACCGGCCGGTGGGCAATGACGTTGCCGAAACGGCCAAGCACGGGATGCTGGTAGGGTCGGGATCCATGGTTTTACAAACGGAAAGGTAGCTTGGGTCGGGATGGGCTAGGGTGTTGCGGCTGGGACTGGAATCTGTTTGCTTTCGACTTCAATGTGTCACTTTGGGTCACCGGAGTGAGACACTCGGCTCTGCCGGCCTTGTAGATGCACTCCACCTTGGTTGATGTTCTGTCCAGAGACAGATGATGAGTCTTGAGTCACAATGAAGTGGACACCAGGCTCATGCAATCAAATTGAAATCACGAAGAACAAGCACACACCCTGTGGTCATGGACAAGCAGTAAAAATGTGGGTGGCATCTCCATACACTCCAATTTGTGGCCATCTGCGGATTCCTCACAAACAAACACACTCTTCCAAAGGGTCCATCGATCGCCCCGTTGCTGTTTCTTCACCTTTGCGGCCTTCCTACAGAGCCCTCGAGGGCTCTGCTTCGTCCAAAAAAAAGAACCTGATCTCGGGTTGCTCAAGCAAGGACTACCCGTGACCAAAGAGACTTTCACCACCCACCCTGAGATCTCAAACACAGGTCTCCATCCTGCAAACCCTCCCCATCCAGTCCCTCCTCCCCACTTCAGCCAGGCCACCGCCTCCGAGACCGCCAGGCCCTCCTCGTTCGGCGTCGCCTTGGAACGGTCGAAGAGCAAGACTCGGCCATCGCCACCACCGGCCACCAGGTGATCTCCTGGCGGTTGAACCGCCCCCGAGTGCCGCGGCGCGCGTTCGGCACCGACCGGGGCCCATCATCCCATCAGTCCGGTACCCCAAAGAGATAGGAAAATCTCATAAAATCTCGACGTCTTGAACAGTAGATCCACTAAGAATTCTATCTTATTGGGGGACCACTATAAGCCTCTGACATACAATTGCGTGTGACATGGGCAAGTCATGATCTGAAGCATGAGGGTATGTTCAGTTCCCTATATCATCTCTTATCTCACACACCAACTCGATCAAGCCAAATGTCTACCGTATTGAGCATGGATGCACCACTCACCCCGCCCTTTTCGCGCCCTGGGCCTTGTAAAGCTAAGCAAATGACCCCAGCTTTGTGGCCTCTAAACTGAGCCTGGCCAGGACCGTGCAGAGCATTGTACCATCAGTGTTGGGGGAGAAAAGCTTTGGGAATGAGAAAGTGAAACTTCCCCCCACGGTTTTGGCGGGTGACTGATTGAGTTGACAAAGGGGATGAGTTATATAGAGGAAGACAACTGCTGTAAACCTTCCATCTGCGACACGAGAAAAGTTGAGACACGACCACTGGAGCGTGGCGCTCCCAGACCTGTCCGTCCGGCCTTCAACTCTCCAGTGGCCAAGTGCCACTGCTGAACCAAGTTGCCTCAGTCTCCAAAACCCACGAGGTCCCATTCCAAAGTGGCTTCAGTTTGGCATGCCAAACCGATTTGGTTCACCAATGGCTTGGTTTGGCCGAGGCGTCTCCAAAAATCAAGGATGTCCAAACTGAAGCCATGCCAAACATGGCAAATAGGTCAACACCGAGACCTGACCCCTCGAATTCCAAGCAACATAGTGACCACTCTCACTCTCTCGCCCCGATTGCTTGGATGTTCATCCCAGAAATTGGACCTATCCTCACATGGAGAGATTACGGAATCCAAGATCTTGAATATATGACTCCAGTGTCTGGATCATAGCCATAGCGCCACCGGTTCTGGACACCTGCCCCTCACTTTCAGGTGCTCCAAGGGCCTCCAGCGTTGCACTCTATGATGTTCAACGCTGGAAGCTCCAAGAAGGACCGTGACACAGAAAAACACTGCGATCTTTTCAGCCAAGTAGAAGCGCCCCCGGGTGCAAGCGAGTCTTGCCCCGGGGTCCCCTCACAAGTTTGCTTGTGTGTCATCATTATAGTTGCATAACTGTGGAGATTCGACTCTCAACTCTCAACTCATGGGGCATCCATGCATTGGTGTCCCATCTTTTCTAGCTGTGGATGGTTGTGGTTGATATAGTTAGGAACCAAACTCCTGGTAAGCCTGAATCCACACGCAAGAATTGTGCCGCAAGGGACAGGTCCACCATTTACCGAACAACCCCAGATCAGCTTCGGTGAAAGCTTTCAGTTGCTCACTTTCCCCGGTTGCTGCGCCAAGCCACCATAGTCGCCTGTAAAGACATACTCACCACAAAGCAGTAGAGACTTGACATATCTGGTGGCGACCTCCAGACTGGGCGAGGCTAGCGACGTCCAGACCGGATCCTGTGGGATACGTCTGCCTAGGATGGAATACGTCTCTAGAACATCCTCGCCCTTCATTTTCCCAGCAAAAAAACGGTGTTGGTTCTAAAAGAAAGCCCACCTACAAAGGAAAAATAGACTAATTACAATATATTGCAATCAATGGGAGTATTCCCAGATAAAAACTTTGAGAATTCCCTGAATTCGCAACCCAGTGTTTGTCACTTGCATCAGCAGTGATATATGACCTGGTGGGAGGATTTTCCTCTATCTACCAGTGTTCATGCTTATGAAGGTGAGCAAACCTTTGGCTTCTGAGCATGTCTGATGCACAAACACTTTGCTCGTGACTGTCGCAGCCTTCAGACTCAAAAAAGGAAAGCGGAGGGCACTTCTGTGGCTGAAACTTTCCAAGGTATTGCTGGTATTGCTGGCCACAGGGAACTCCTGGGCTCACTCTCATAGGAGAGACGGTTGAAGGACAACCAATTGCTTCGGAAGACCATTCCTCTAGTTTGACATTAACCAAGCCAATATATATATATATGTATTGAACCCATAATCTCAATGTATCCCTGAGAAGAGGCTTACATTTGGTGTTTCGAAAGAATGAAAAGACAATGAAGGTCGGCCGGGTCATCGCTCCCTTAAAGGTGTCGATCGCCTTGACATCCTTGAAGATTTCTCCTGAGGACCGTGACCAAAGCCGCATCAAGCCTCGCCCAGAGCGTGGTGACGGGTGGAAAACATATGCGAAGTGGTTTGACCAGGTGGACACATGGATGACCCCGGCTTTGAGATTTCATCACGTCCTGAATTCTCTCCGTTGAAGCATTTTGATACCCTAGAGGCTCAAAAGCTATGTGATGTGATACTCCGTTGTTCAAATCAAGCGAACGCCTGAGATCTTCCCACATCTCTGGCTCAGACCCACAGAAAAGGTCGCTTTGAGTGATTCTCCTCGTGTTCAACATCTCCAGGCAGGACATTGCTCGGAGAAACGTGGAACACTGACGTCTTTGCAGAAGTTCGTGACGCGTCGCACGCGTCGCTTGATCTTGAGATGTACTGATGGGACGAGAAGGACAGGCGATGATCCCAAGTGGCCAAGGAGGGTACAAGCCAGAAATGGAGATGCTCCAGGAGAGGGCATAGGGTTGGTATGGGTTGGTTAAATATGACCTTGACTCCAGAACTTGGACTTTGCAAGGTGCACACTGCTGCCTGGTGGTCAGGGGATTCTTGGCAAGGAATGCTTGATCTAGCATCTTGTTGAAGCCGTTTGCCTTCTGATAGGTGGGGTGATAGGATGTGTTTAGTACAGCCTGAGCTTCTGATCTGTCAACTGTCAGAGGCTGGCAGGTTGCCCAACCTGAGCTATCTCCAGCTATGATGAAGTCATCGGTGACCTCGCACATATAGCCAGGCAGCCAGGCTGGGTTGTAAAGGATCCATGCTCAATATATGAAACTATATATAGTATATACTATGAACTTCTAAAATCGATGCACTTAGAATCCCAATCATTAGCAGCTTGATGAATTCTGCGAAGAAAGAGGAAGCTCTTGGTGTTCTAGACTCATCGCATCCCAGGCTAGTGACTATTAGCTGTTAACTGTTGGACCATTGAGACAAGTGTAGTCAGAAACTTCTGGACCGATCGAACGCCAGTGATACATGAAATGGTCAGCTTTTGCTGTCCTTTATAGAATCCTCAATAGCCCGTAGATTCACTAGTTTTGGCCGCGCCAAAGCTTAGTGGAACAACGATCTATTGCGACAATCTGCAGAGTCCTCATTTGCTTCATGTTCTTGCTTCACATCATTTCCGTTCTAGCTTCTGGAACTTGGTCTGCCACTCCCCTTTGCTACGTGCCAAAATGCCATGAGAACAAAGACCCATCACCTACAGAATGTTCTTTCTCAAGCGATTCGTGCCAGACATGGGAACCTTCTCCATGAACTCGGACACTCCCCCCAATGGAACACGAAAAAAAACAACGACAACTCTCCCCCCCCGAAACGTCCTGAAAACCACGCTTCCCCCCTCCCGAACCATGGAGGTTTCTTCCCCGAGTGCTGGGCTTGGACGCATTGAGCGCCCTCCGCGGTGTTGAAGCTCCGCAGTAGCTCGCCGCTACTGGACCATTCTCGCAGGGTCCCATCGTCTGAAACGCCTGGGACCAACGGACCGAGGCCGTTTGGGCCGGTGGCGAAAGAGGGAGTGCCGTTTGGGCCGTTTGGTGGTGGGGTGAGCTCAAATGCCAAGTATTGTTGAAGACTATGTGACGATGCATGAGCTCATGTCACTATGTGACATAGTGAGTTTATCAATAGTGACTATATGTAATACTATGTAAGTATGCATGTCCATTCTGATGGACATTGAGAGTTTGTGGTCGGTCTCTGCGGGTCTCAGATGGACATTTTGGATGGCAATGGCAGTCGTGCGGCGGCACTTGATTTTCGGTGGGATGCGTGTTTCATCAACACTCATCTATCATCATCTATCCATTTCGGACTAGGTGGGGGCTTGCATACATCCGCTGCCAAATTAAGGCCCGCAACATCCCTATGGCGCTATGGAGTGAAGAAGAGTATGCGAAGAGATCCAATTGATGCATCTCTAATTAAGGAGTCAATGCAAATTTCAGTTGGCTGTTCTAATTTCGCAGAACATCAGAAATTTGGGCAGGATATGCCAGGAAAATCAGTTTCAACCTCCCAAAAAACAGGGGCTATGTTTATTTAGTCTTATTTGTGGCAGAATCTAAGAGCAATCTGCCGACGAGGCACTGTAAAGCAAAGGACCTTTGCTGGATTCCAAGCTCCTTTTCAGCAGTGCCAAGGCGTCAATCCAATGACTGATTGCCCCTGTCACCATCAAGGTCGATGGTCCATAGGAACATAAAGAGGAACTCTCTTGTTGAGAGAACCAAGCCTGCACCACCTGGAACACCGATATTAACTTCAGTGGAGGAGTGTAGGATGTCTTGATTCAACAAAACCCGGTGAAGCGTTGCGGAAGGATTACTACTATACCCATGTCAACGAACAACATGTCGGATGTCAAGCTCGTGGCAACATCTTCCATGGGTGACGCAATTCATCATCCCCACGCACAGAACTCGGCCATGCAAAGCCAAAGGGCGCTGAGAAGATCTGGGTTTGCCTCCAAACAGTCCCATGGGGGCACCCTTCCAAAAACACAATACATTAACTACTAATCCGTGGAATGCTCTTGGAGATTGTTCACACAAACTCTCCTACCAATGCCCAGCCCTTTCAACACTCAGGTTTGAGGAGCCTGATAATTCTTGTTTTAACTTCAATTCAAAGCTTCGGGACATAGCAGTCCTCAACTTCTGCAAGGCGGTTTGCACCTCATGGTTGTTCGATAATGATCAATGACGTTGGAAGCAAGTGATGCCGGTTCTTAAAACGAAAAGCAACGAACATGCAGTGGCACAATGGTCCCTTTGGAAAGGAAGCGGGTTTTCGTTCGAGATTCAAGGCCTGTGAGCAAAATCCAAACAGGACGCGGCCATACAAAGCCACCCGAGGGTACTACAGCTGGATAACCTGTTCACTCTCCCGTCACACTTGGTTTCAGTTGGGATTACAGTAAGGCTTACAACTGGAGGGCTAAGTTGTTGGTTCACTCCCCAGCTCTCTATGTTGTAGAATGATGGAAAGGTTACACAAGGCATAGCAAAAACATCCTACAAGGCTTCTCTTCTATGCTTTCACAACAGGAGTGGCATCACTCAGAAAAAGGATGAGCACGGGAACACCGGAACACTGTTCACCGGATCCCACCCTGAGTGCCACATGTCACGCAGCTATGATCACCAGCTGATTATCAGGGACTCCAACTGCTTTAAAAGTCCAGCCTTCTTGAGGCTGACTTCTTTAAAGTCCTCTTCGCCTGACAAAGTCGGGTCGAATTGGTCGAACTGTCGACTCGCGAGCTCTGTGGAGTTCACTTGGGGGGTTCATTCGAACTCCTGGCACACCACCAGTGATGCAAGTTCCAACAGGTTCGACTGATTGCAAACGTGGGTAAAGTGACCCCAGCTGTTTCAATCCGAGAGCCCTCTGAAAGGAAAACCGAAATCCATTGGTGGGATAATATTAATGAGGATGGTGATCATCCAATAGATCTAATGAGTTGCCAAACTGACTCGTCCCATGATGGTTGAATTGTAGCAAAATTTGGGCACTAGGCTTTCTTGTGTGGGAAGTGTTCCAAACAAATCCCCCTCAGCTTGGACCAGAGTCTGCTTCACTGCAGGCATATGGCGGCATGAAGGTCCTTCTTTTGACACAGTTGTGGAGATCCAAAGGTCGGGTCAGCTGCCGCGCATCTGTGCAAACTCCGCCGAAGACATGGTGACAAACAGCACAAACCCTGTCCAGAAGCCATAGTCACAATGGTAAACCAAACGCTCCGCCACCTTGGCCTTAAAATTATAATGTTCCTGCTGCCCATCGAAGAGAAGCTTCAACCGCTCTGTCTCAATGTCTCCTCGGAGCCCTGCCATGGCATTGATGAAGAACACAAATGTCCAGTAGTCCTGGAGTGTCCACGGTGTGCCATTTGTGACGAAGTGCAATTGCGACACCTTCACCAGTACTGCCATCAAGGCCAAGGGAATGAGACAAAACACAACGTTTACGATGGTCCACACAAGGCAGAACGCACTACCTGGAGTCTTGCTGAACCTTCTGTGAGTATCGTTGACCGTCTCCCATGCGGTCACTGGGTTCACCAAGGGCAAAGACTTGAGGGCTGAAAAGTTGGCTGACCGGGTCAAGTAGTGGGAGAAAGCTGCCATGTAATTGGGATGAGGAATGCAACACGCAACAATCAAGTAAAATAGAAGCGCAAAGAGCAACAATCCTGCAATGACCCCTTAGCATCGAATCAGTATGTGCCGCTCCAACTTCCATGGTTTGTCCTCATCTTTGCTTCCCAGGGTTGCCATGTTGTAGATCAGGAAACCAAGGTTGGAGACTGCTCGCCCAAAACGCCATGCAAAGGTCGCCAAACGGCCAAATGTGAGGCCCTGCTCAAAAAGGATATGACCACGCACTTCAGGAGCATGTTTCTCGACGAGGTCAGCCCGATACCCTGGGTCCCGAGATTGCATTACGGCCACATAAATGCAAACGTAAACAATCCAGCAGAGGAACAATACAAGCTGAAGTCCGAATCCAAACACAATGACTCCCTCGATCAGCTGCTCTTTGTGCACGACTCGCCCAGCAACCTCCACAGACTCCCAGTGCAACTCAGGTCGCATCAGGTTCTTTCCCAAGGTGCAACGCGTGCTACCAGGGCTTTTCTTGTGGTTTGGAATGCATCATAGGCTAAATACTGCCACAGGCAGCTTGAGCCAAAAGCATGTTCAGAAGAGATTGACATGATCTGCTCCGCTCCACACCCGGTGGAAGCTCTTTAGGTGATGGCTGATGTCAATATTCCTTCGGTTCAGCCACTTCCATCCTCCGATTCAATAAACTCAGCCAAATCCTGAGATGAGAAAGATCGTTGGACCTAGCCAACCACTCTGGCCTTTCAACTTGTCATGCAGCTTGCGATATCCAGTCGAGGGATCCTCAAGCAGCAGCGCCTCAAGAGCGCGGATGCACAGGCTTCCAAAGGCAAGAAATTAAAATCAAGTCACAGTGACTCCAGGATCAATGGCGTAATTTCAAGGCAATCGCCAAAGCAACCAGGGCTTCGGCACCAACAAAAGAAGGAACAAACCTGTCCGACAGTCCCAAAACTGTTTGAAAGAGGTACATATGGGATGAAATCCGAAGAGCGAACAGGTGGTGTTCACTCACTCACTCACTCACTCACTCACTCACTCACTCACTCCCTCCACGTAAATGGTCCAATGATTCCAGTATTCCACTATTTCATGGAGTGTCCAACCAGAACTTCACCAGTCCACGTGTCTCTCCAACCAGCCAGGCTTCATCGCACCTCCAGGCGTTCCAACAGCTTCGCCTCTTCCATGGCTCGCACGCAGCGCTGCGGCGGCTCACTTGGCTCACGGAGTGACACCGATTTTTTCATCTTCTGCGAATGGTTCAGTTCTGCAGATGTGGATGTCGCAGCTTGATGTTTCATGAGTTTTCATCTTCTGCAAATGGTTCAGATGTTCGAAAACATGCGGATGCCGCATGTTTAGAGACCTTGTAGTACCCAAAGGAAGCATCAAACCTTAGGTTTGATCTGTAGTGGGGAATGTTGAAGGAGTGTTCTGTGTTTGTACGTGCTGGTCTTTTCCGTAGATGGTTCGGCAGCGAGGTTCAAACTTCCAATGCACGGGGGCATCCCTAGGATCTATCATTTCTAGAGACTGTGATTCCAAATCACTCAACTTGGAAGCTGGAAAAAAAGCTTCCAAACCTGGCTCTGAACACCTAAACGTTCTTGTCCCACCTGGGCTGTTGCACGTTTGTCTTTTCAGAGCTGTGCCCAACTACCTTGCATCAGCCGGAGCCTCACAGGGGCACAAAGTCATCAAGTCCCAACAGTGCCTGACGGCCAGGTAGGCACTTTTGGTGTCTTCCGTAACTCACGGCATCGGAGTGTTCACCAAATATAATATCCGGATGTCAGGATGTTGAGCACTTCCGCCGAATCCACTCAGATGAAGTTCTGGCTTATCACTGTGAATAGACCACCTATCAATACCATCCAACAGGATTCTTGAGGTCATCACCCTTCAGTCAAAGAGAAAGGACCCCTCTTCAGTCTCTGAAAAAGGCTCCATTTTTCCTGAAGGCGTGCAGCTTTGGCACCACCACCTCCTCCACAAGCAGGCGCCGCAAGACTGTCTTCGGATGTCCCAGAATGGCACCCGAATCTGATGGGAACATGAAGGGAACATGGGCCCAAATCTGTCTTGCCCGACGCGTCTTTGTGATCACTGTTTTCAAGCAAAAATAACAGTGATAGAACTTGAACCACAAAGACAGAATGATGTCCAACTTGGTGATTGGAACCGCTAATGTTCCATCTACTCAAGACTGAACGTATATAAATAGAAAGACTAGCACCTCCCACATGTCATCATTTGTCTATTTTGTGAGGGTTGCTGAAGATCGGGCTGGTCATACCAAGCAGAAAGTGGGATCTGCATGGGTGACACCATCTATTTGCGTCTATCAGTCTATCATATACACACTTAGTGGAAGTTACACTGTAGCGATTAAGCACAGGCATAGATATGGATGTGTCAGGAACCTTGCGAAGTGGAAGAAGCGAATGGTAGAACACTAGCAAACCAGTACTAGGATTTGCCTTTTTGCCCATGTCAGACAAACAAACATTTTGGTTCAACATGGTTCAACCCTTCAGGGCCTCACCTTAAGAAACTTGAGAATCATCCTCCACCGCATTTTGCTCGATGCCTTTCCTTAGTCGGCCCATCTACGACAAGTCCCGGAGGATACAACCACCCTTCCGTTCTGAAACAAACTGCTTTCATCTCACAAAGCAGTTCGACACCCCCCCAAGGACCCCCAGGATTGCCAGATCACCTCCAACCTTGCTCGGGAGCCTTCTGGAGAGCTTGAAATTTCTATGATGGCGGAGAAAAATGGCCGAGCCAGTAGAAAAGAAAAGCCGGGGCCCCCTTTAGCCAAGAATCAAATCCTTTTCGGTGACTTCGAGATCTCCTTCCAACTCCTCTTCGGCCTGACAAGACCCGTCTGGAGTTCCCAGAGACCCCTGTCACGAGTCAACGCTCACGGGCCAAGCTTTGGGCCAAGGCTTTTCGGATTCGAGTGATGAGGGCCACAGGTCCTTTGAGCTTTGGGCCACATTGAACCACTGCTCCTTTTCACGACCTTCAAGTCTTCAAGTGTTCGATGCTTTGGCAGCTGCGAGAATGGGACCTAAACCATGCCAAGTAGCTGATTTTTCTCCCAAACTCTTCAGCCCCTCCACCAAGCACTATGCATGGTTTAACACCGGCCTGCTCAGCCTCTTCATCCATCTTGGCATCCACCGGCCTCAGGTTCTCCGCGGACGTGGCTGAAGAGTCGAAGAAGGAGCTTTTTGTTGGATGGGGAGGTTTCTTTGGGATCTTGAACTCTTGTTGATTCCACTCCTCTGTGCTCCCTAGGCTTGTGACAAGAGAAGCTGGAATGGTTTGAGCCAAGCTGTGTGAATCCGAGCAGCTCAAATAGTCTGGCCCTCTAAGATATGCAAAATAACGGCCTGAAGAGTTCATCACACTCTTGCTAAGCAGAATCCTCAGCACTGATGATTCCCCAATGTTTGCTCCATGCGCTAGAGGCATATGCGGCATACCCATTAAAGTTGGGCATGAGCCCCAGTAACTCTGCCTGTCTAATCGTTGGATCGCCAATTGGCTGGTGCTCAAGCCACTGGTGCTCAAGAAACATGTCCGACGAGCTCTGGTCCCAGCAGTGCATATCCACCCGGATCAACCGCATGTTCGCTCAGTCCCCAGGCCCATCGCTTCGAAAAAACCTGGAGCAGCCGGCATCAGTGGCTTGGTGGCAGGCAGGCAGTGTGCTTCGCGCACCGGATGCAGCAGAAGGGAGAGGGAAAAGGAGCTCGGATGGCTTAAGACTTTCGTTGTTCTGGGATGTTCTGGGTCTAGAGTCTCTGAGAGGCTTTGAGCATCCTCCCAAGATCCACCAGCAAACAGAGATGAACTGGACAGTCCCACGTGATTTCTGATTGATCAGGATGGGTCGGCCGATGGCAGTGTTGGTGACTGATGCTGAACCCGAGTCTTGTTCAAATGAACCTCTAGCAGTCGGAAGCATGCAAGAATCATGTCATGCCCTCTTAGACTCCAGTCTGCAGAAAATCACTTGGGAATGTATGGACACGGAAAGGGAAAGCAAAGGTCCCTTGATACATTCTAGCCTTCAAATTGTTCCATCATCCACCTAGACTGTTACCTGCTTGCCTCTGGTGCCAGGAGAGGGAACCAAATCACGACCCATGACATTCCAACCATGTGCGAATCCATTGGTCCTGATCCCAGCAGACACCATCTGCAAACCAGCAGGGACTTCAAGGCATTAAATTTACTGGATCTTCGCAATCAATTGCAACAAGACGTGAAGGCTAGCAAACAGTCCAGCTGGAGTCCAGCTACCAGGTATACCACTCAAAAAAGCAGCAAGATGCAGCAAGACTTGTTCCAGAATCTTTGAAGTTTGAAGCAATTCCCAGTTCCCTGGCGTCCCATACCCATCTTGCAGTGCCTTGTGGGACCCTTTGGCGGTGCATTGTCACTCAGAGGGGCCTGCAAGACATGGCATGAAGAAATCCGTTGCTCCGAGTCCAAATGGCTTGGCACTTGCGCAAAGAAGCGACGCAAACTTCTCCAACACCCAAAGCATGGTGATTAGATTAGATGGAATATACATGATCAGGGGGGGTCGACAGAAGAAAAACGAGCTGGGTGCTGGCTGTTTGAATGTCTTTATTTGCAACGGACCGACCTCAGTCCTGACAAGTTCATGACCAAAGTGTCACGAGGGAAGAGCAGCAAAGAGTTGTGGAATCAACTTGCTTCAAACAAATGTCCGTCTGGGGTCCCTTCAGAAGCTTTTCAGATGCAGAAATTCAGTACCAAGAATGTTACATGAATATTGATGAATATAGCACTGCGCATCAAATCTGCGAGGCTCTGTCGAACACGCTGTTTCGCTGGTCAACAACAGTCCAGCCTGCGCACCCAAAGGAACACGTTCTAAGTCCTGGCATCTTTGAAGGCAGGTGAGCTGGTGCTTCGTGCTTTGGTACTTCGTGATGACTTTCGGCTGTTCCGTCCACAAGTCCACCACCCAAACTCCTTGAGTTCCACGATTCTCTTTCGGATACAAAACGCTACTGGAAATATGAAATAACGGTAGTTGTCAGGGTCACTGCAGATTCTCACCCATTGTCCGTACCATACACATCTGTACACAATTGCTGGAGATTACTGATCCTCCAAAATAGTAAGTCAAAAAATAGAACTGCTGGAGGTGTCTCAACTTGTATGAAGGTCCTCCCAGCCCTGCAAGAACGCGTCCCGCGTCCTTGGCACTGGGCATGCCTGTGACTCGCTCCATCGTGGTCCCAGTGACACGGCCTCCGGAGCTCGAACACGGTTTGGCCCACCTCCAAGCGCATTGGTCCAGTTTTGTTGGCCTACATGGTCCCCATCCCCAGTTCCAAGCTCTCATCCCACTGAGTTTCGGTTTCCTTGAACAAACCCAGAGTGCACATGAGCAACATGCTCAATTGCTAGCTGCATGGAGAAGATTGCTAGTACTACTAGCGCTAGACTTTTGGGGTGCAAAACTCATGGAAAGGCCACAGAATAACAGCAGATGAGAAAATGTTGACAGGTTCTTTTTCCAAAGAACATGTTGTAAAACATCTTCACCAATACCAAAAAGAACTCAAAAATGCTCACGACCCATGCAAAAAGGGAGCACAAGATTCGTCCCTGTCCAAAAAAAGGGGCACCAGTACCGGTGACTCTGGATGACCCCCACCGGCCCCGCTCGGCCGCCGAGGCGCCAAGGCACCTTGCTGGTCCACCACAGGCCCCCGAGGCAGCAAAGGCGGTTCGATGGGTCCCTCATCCGCCTCGGGTGTGCCAGTCTGCAGGAGGTGCCGAAGGGTGAAGAGGCAGGTGGACTGGTGAAATCTGAAATGAACCCAGGCACAATGAAAAGTGCCGTGTTTTTTCCAGGAAACCCTTTCCCTGCATCGATGCAGGTTTAAGAGCAAATTGAGATGGACACACAGGCTAATTGGAGGGACGCTGTTCAACGGAGATCTCACAAGCTGGATGTCGGCCTACTATGAAAAACCTGTGGCTTTTGAGAAGGGAAATATCAAAGGAAGGCCTCATGGCACTGTTGGAATCCGGATAAAATCGAAGGATATCCCATGCAAGTGGTTTTTCTCAAGTCGCATGTGCTTGCACTGTTTTCCCATTTCTCGGTGAAAGGATCAATCCAAGGTGATGTTCCGAAAGCCATGCGAAATTGAGTTGACAAATGAACGATGAACTGACCATTGCTGAGTCTGGATCTGGGTTTCGCACCTCGTACATGTACTTCTTGAAGCTCACTGTCAAAAAGCTGTGCGCGGAATGCTTTGCGCGCTGGCCTCAGTTGAACAAGTGCAAGCCATTTGGGCAGATAGACATTCGCCATGCTGGCATAAAACTTAGAAGCCAGGTGGCCATGACAGCATGCCGGAATGTGAATACTTATCAGTGCTGACTAGTATCATTACACCGGCATAGAGCCGGATAGCATTTTGGCTACGAAAGCTAACGAGGCGGACTTCTGCGCTTGCTCAGTCTCTTAAACCGCCATCCCAAGTGCAAGATTGGTATATAATACGCAACGCATTATCACCAAAAACATATCCTAAGAGCACGGCCTCCTTTCAGAATCACAGCAGAAAGAGCGGACTGAGAGAGAGTGAGAGAGAGAGTGAGAGTGAGAGAGAGAGAGAGTGAGAGAGAGTGAGAGAGAGTGAGAGAGAGTGAGAGAGTCTTTTTGGAAGGAGGACATTCGGCAAAAGACCCAGCGTGTGGCCAGCAACTTGTCATCGAGGATCTCAGCGCAAAGCAAGTTTCTTGCGCGGAGAGGTTTGTGACGTTCCTGCTGTCCTGCCTCAACACCGCGTCAGACATTCTGACACGACGCACAGGCACAAGAGCACAGCCCAAACACGGCCGCGTACAAACAGTTGGTTTACCATGGTTACCACCACGTGCGGACCTACTCACTAACGAGGGGCGTAAACGATATCTATTTAGGAAGCAGGTTGGGCAAGCGCAATTCAACAAGCCTTCCAGTCAGCACCTAATTGCGCAGGAAGGCCAAAGCTCTTTGCAAAAGTGCACTCTAAATGTCCACCAAGCATTGCGCCTGCTACAAAATGTATACATCAAGGACTTTCAGAGGACTGCTCGTGAGCAAGGCAACGTATGCCTTCTCGCCAAACATCTGGTTGTGCTGCAGATGTCTGGATAAGGCAGTCGGCTTCGATGCGGTCAGGACGGACCCCGATGTTCAACGTAGATCTTTCTGTTGAAGAAGCTCTGTCATAGCTTCCCCATTGACATGCCTCTCCCACCTACATGAGGTCCTTAATTAGAAAAGACACACCTGCTAACGTATAACGTATGTATCAATCCTGCAAAATCCACTGCGCCAGCTTCATCCCGTAACTTGCAATACACCTCATTGTTGCTTTCATGAAATATCCAAATTGGCGCAGAACATGTTGCACTCAAATGGTCTAAGCATCTGACAGCCCCAAACGCCTCCAAAGTGCTCAAACGCCTCCAAACACTGGGACGATGAGCAGCACAAACGCACCCGTTTCGATGGTTGAAGGTCAAGAGTGTGTGTATCCCACTGTTCAGCCTCTACAGTAAATGAACAGAATAGGCTGGCCATCATTGCACGGCCACCAGTGCACGTGCAGATTTTGCAGGCCCCTAACTTTCCAGGCAGTTCTTCAGTGGTTTCGAAGGGTTTTTAACATGTGCAACACTTCTACAACCGCTCAGGCTGCACCGCTCACTTGGTCTCGATTCATCGGGACTTTGTGGCGTGGCGCCGAGCAGTCTTTCAGGCAAAGTCCAAAGGGCCAAGTCTTCAAGAACAAGGGCACCCTGCGCTGCACATCCCTGCATACTACCTACATCTACGTACAGTATATACATAAACTGATTGAGCTGTAACAAACCAACCAGCAACATATGTCACCCATCCAATCAGGCTACCTCACCTCTATGACGCTCAATTGCGAGATGTGTATACGCCATCTATCTCAACCCACATCTGACCATGGTTTGACCGATAATCACTGCAACAGTCACACACTGTCTTGTCGCGAAATGTCGGTTCTGCAAAGACCTTCCCCTCTTGGATCGAGTACAACTTTGGTCAAAAAAACCTTCTGATTCACCTGAAAGTGCGGGCTCTCGACTTCAACCTCAGCGTTCGGGCCACATGTGTCACAGAACGAGGAAAGAGTCATCAAGACTTGGAAAGCCTCTTCCTGCTCTGTTTAGTGAAAAGAGAACTGAAAAGAGAATGGAGTAGTGGATGGTGTAGGAGATGAAGCACATTGAATTTAAAACGTTGGGTCATAAAGAAAACCATTTTTTTGTGGCTTTCCTAAGTTCATCTTGACCCGAAATTTGTCCATCACAGGTTCAACTGTGGTGAGCTGTGAACGACTGGCACGTCAGCGAGAGTAGTTGGGAAGTTGACCAGTTGTGGGATATCCTAATTTGTGTATTCCAAAGCCAACGAATACACATCTCACTTAAGGGATTTCAGCAGAGCCTCCTAGATGCTTGGAAGCGAAACAGCAGTGACAATGAATCATCTAAATCCCTTCATTGACACTTGGAACAGCCTCCAAAACCTTCGCTGTTACACGAAACGCAGACGCATCAGCTTGCGCATGAGCTTTTTCTTCATCCACTTCGGGCGCGTCAAAGCTTCTTTGATTCGTCTACCACTCTGGAGCCTTAACAGCAATGTGAGGATCGCAGTCATCGTAGAAGGGATCCTGCAGGTGACAAAAACGCACAAGAAGGTAAAATGTCTCTCCTATATATAGGCCTGACCAAAATGGTTGGGCTGGATTGAGGCAGCTTTGGTGTGCTTTTGGTGTCATACCCAGGGCGGGCGAGGCGGGCAAGGACACCTGAAGATGCGTAAGGAAAAAGAAAGAGAATAAGATCTTCCAAGTTCTGGCAGAAATATGAAGAACTTGTGAAGGACATAGAAAGACCCATGACGACCTCTCTACCTCTTACTATCAACGTGGAAACATGCCGTTTTGCCCTTTTTTTTGCCCTTCTTTTTGCTCCACTCAAACCTGGACTAGAGCGATGAAAAAAGAGAACAGAAGTGACACCAGACTTTGGTGGGGAGAATCACGCCCAAAACGTGGGTCCGATGTCGAATCATCCAACGTCCCCCCAGTCCCCAAAAGCCGTTCTCGAAACCGTTCTCGACTGTCAGACTGTCAGACCTGTGCATGAACTACACTCCACTCCACTCCGGTCCATGATGTGGTCATAGCCGGGGAAGCCGTCCGGCCAATACTTCTTGACCTCTGCTGTGATCCACCGCACGTCGCGGCCCCACATGGTCTTCCAAGTCCAGGCTTTCTCCGGGATCGGCGTCAAGGGGTCAGCGCCTCGGATGGCGCGGCTTAAGCTCCGGTGAGCCCGGACCATTGAGGCGTTTTATGGCTCGCCCGTTTTTCGGGCGGCTAGGGTGGGAGGAACCTTACAAAGCACGTTTGTAAAGGGGAGTGGTGTTTCCATCTATATAATTAGGATTACTGCTGCAGGTGTACAGAGCTCCAAAGCTGGGTCAGTTGCTCTGTGCCTACCTAAACAAACACTGCATGACCACATGTCTTTGGTCTCCCAGTCCCACCGCTCGACCCCTGGCGACGACGCAACGACGAAGAGCCCGGTGCGCCGCAACGAGGTGGCGAACGATGCGAAAGGCGACGACTCGACCCCCGAACGCGACGACCCCAAACGCGTTTGGCCGCGAAGAACGCGACGAGACGGCACTCGCTGCCGCCCATGGCCAAGGTTCTCTCACCCTTGTGGTAGTACCAAAGCCACACAGGATCGCGCTTGAAGCGCCCATCAGAGCGATTCTTGGCCGGGTGCAGCCACACATAGGAGCCGCCGGACTCCCAGTGCGCGGTGTAGCCGGGCACGGAGCCTTCGGGGCCGACGCGGGTGGGTGAGGTGATGGTTGATGGATGTGGGATGATGTGGGTGATGTTTTTCATTTAACATGGCTGGTGAGACGGGGATACAACGTGATACAACCACAGCATCGGTGAGGAAGAACTGGCCATTTGCGGGCTCCGGTGATACTCGGACAGCCCCTTTGGCCCCCTTTGGCGCTGATGGCCCCCTTTGGCCCCCTTTGGCCCCCTTTGGCCCCTTCGGTCCACTTGTCTCTAAGACGCCCTTCACCACGATGATGGATTCCGGCATGTTGTCCTGCAGGATGCTGGTCGGAATCCAAGCGAAGAATCTGAAGAGAAATCGTGAGTTGCACGTACGTGTTGCTCCGTTCGCAGATCTTTTTCGTTCGAGCCTCATCTCCCTCAGAAAGATCGGCTAACACTGCATTGATCGCAGAACTGAACTAAGCTTGTTCTAGCACTGCATTGATCTCAGAACTGCACTAGCTTGTTCTAGCACTGCATTGATCTCAGAACTGAACTAGCTTGTTCTTCAGCAATCTCTGTGAGTGCTCACTGGGGGGTCAAACCGTGGTCAAGTGTATCCTATTCTCAATACCAGTGAATGATGACTCTCTTTACGAGAAGGGACCTTTGTCAAGCACATTGCGATGCTGATCTTATCTGTATATCACCTGTAATAGGATAATGCCGTTGCCTATTTCGGCAAATCTCTCTTCAACGATATCCCCCGAACTCCTGACTACTGACTACTAGCCGGCTGGCAAATGGCAAGAGATCGCTCCTCGTCGATGCGATCCATGATCTTGATAATCTTCAGATTGTGAGCAATGCTTTTGCACACTCCTCCATCCGATCCGACAAATGTGACAGAATGCGCCAAAGCGCATGCCGCAGTGCGGTCGTGCACCAAGCAGAAAATGGATGGATCGGTCGACCCCGTGGATCGGTCGTCAAAGCTGAGCGATGGGTTTGAGGCGAAGCAACTTCCTTTGCCCTGGAAATGGACGGAATTGTTGTGGGTTATTGACTCTGGTGGAAATGAGGGTGGAGTTGCTCCTGGAGAATGGCCTGAAGAGCAAAAATGACATAGATATGTCGGCACTCATGTGATACTCCAGTCATCCTTTGGCGTCTTCGTCGCTTTCATACGAAGTACTTTTGCAAAGGATATCAAAGGATCACATGGAAAAGCAAATCTACGCCCTCTGTTGCTTCTTCTCAGAATTTGCCAAGTTAAATTACGTGGCCTCACAGTGGCCAAAAACGGCCAAAACCCACGCACCAGAGAGGATCGATGAGTAAGACACAGTAGGACGACATACGACCAATGTCCATGTGTCCTTCACCCTCCACTAGCGGGCATCACCACCGGGTACGATGCCCTTTTACACGTCCTGGTCCTAAGCATCGTCCATTTCGCCCTCAATGTCCCTGAGCATCACCCGATCCAGCCGCTTGCGCCAAGGGTCCGATCCAGCCAGCTCTCTTCTTTCGTGGCAAGACGCGCTTCGGCCGAGCAGCGCCAATGGAACCCTCTCTCCTGGAGGGAGGGATGAGGAAGCGTTGCAAGCTGAGCTCTATTTTAGCAGGATTGAATGTTAGAGAATACACTGCCGGGTTCGGAGAAGTACCAAAGTAGCCTTAATTTTTCCAAAAAAGCCATCCGAATAGGGATTTAGAAGATGATGTTCCTCTGCTCACTGGTTGCTGCACGTTCCTCGGGGTTTGATCAAGCCCCAAAAGCACCCCTTTTCGACAAGATCATGTGCGAGACTGGAATGCCTTCCCCTACCTAGTACCTGCCAAGCCATCCCTTCGGTAGCTCAAGGAGGTAAGCCGACTGTTGAGAAAACTGATCGAATCTAAAAACACGAAACAATCTTGAAGGCCCCTTTTTCCCCAAACTTACTTTTTCCCCAAAGGCATATCAGCATTGCTCATCTGAGATATGCCTTGCCATCTTGCCAAACCATGCCATCCCAGCATAGCTCGAGAAGCATCACCGGACGTCCTGTGATGCTTCGAGCCATGGCCCATGGGTCCGCGCTTGCCGCCCCATCGCTTGATACGGCCGGCAAAGCCTTTGCCCTTGGCCCAACCTCGAAACGACGACGGCTTCAAATGAAGGCTTCAAATGATGGCAGAGGCCTTGGAGCCTTGGGGACTGGGAGATGGTGGGAGTGGGGGGATGGCGTACCAACATGGCGTACCATGCTTGAAAAACGATATGGTTCTTGATTCTTGATCTTAAATCAAGTTCGGATGATCAATCTGCTCATCAAAGTTGTCCAATCCTCCCAAAGCATCTTCCTTCTGTCACCCGCGATGTGTCTTTTTGAACTTGGAGTAGTTGTCTAATTCTCTTTGGGAACATCCACATCATCATATCCATTGCTTAAAACTTTAACTGTTTGTTACAGGATATGTTTCCCTTACAAGATCCTCATCCATCTGTGTACGACGTGGCTCCAACATTACACCAAGACTGCATTGTGAAACGGAAAGGTTTGCATAGCTAATACTTACTAATAGCTGAGTCTCAAAACAAGGCAACCCCATACCAGTGGGTTTCACCTACTTTCCTGGCTATCAGGTAGTGTCTGGGTTTAAGACAAAGCCCAGATCTTGTCGGTGAACGCATGCCCCTCTTCACAGCCCTCCCACCGTCCCAGCACACAGACCTCCAGACCGACCGACTGCTTGCGGATCGAAAGGCCATGGATGTCAACGATGTCGCCTTCCTTGAAGAGGTCTGAGGGCCAAATCTTCTGGCCAACCTCCCACTTCTCCCAATCTTGTGGCCTCCACAAAATTCTGGCATCGTCCAAAGATCTCCAACGTCACAGGACGAAAAAAGGGGTTGCGCATAGCAGCGGAATAGGGGAAGCACAAAGCAAGTGCTTTGGGCAAGTATTAAACTGCATGCGAAATCAACAAAAACGTAAAGAAACACAAGCATGAAGAAGCATGAAGTCTCTGCTCTCTTGGTGTGTCCAACCGAACTAGAAAACGAGACATCAACAAAGAATCTCTGTAATTTTTCAGAGATGCGACATGTCTTTTATGTGCTGCCCATGTCTCGGTGGTGCTTTTTTCACGCTTCGCCGAATGCAGACGCGAGATCTGGGTCCCCAGCTTTGGTTGTGGTCTTGGAATGAATCTCAATCACAGTAGGCATAAAAGGCATAGCAATCATTGGGAAAATGATTTCGCATGCAGGGCCCCTCATCGCAAGACCCATACCCCTGTCGGGTTTTTTGGTGGAGTTGCTTCTGAGATTCATGGGATGAGCATCAATGGGAAGCAATCCAATCTCTTACGTCCATGTCCTCTCAATCTTCTCAATCTTCTAGTTATATGAGTTTATATAGTACACGCAAGCTACTACATCCATTCTTCAAGAGACAGACTGACCCTGATCTTCAGCCAGTCTTCCACACCTCACGCGGAAGTCCTTGATCTTCCGCAAGGGAGGGCACTCGTTGCGTGCCAAGCGCTGAATCTGAAGTGCTCGTTTGCCGCTCCTTTCATACCTCAGCAGGCAAGCTATTATTCAAATTTTGCATCTAGACCTGGATTTTGTGCGAGGCACCTCCAACAAACCATGGTGTTCTTGGCAAAGCTACAACAGCCCCCACCTCGCAATTACACAAATATTGCCCTACGAAGGGATGTTTGGACCGATCTGTTTTTTTTGTGTAGATACCTTTTTTCAATAAATGACCTCTTCGACCGAGCTGCTTGTTGGGCTCATAGCGCTCATAACCCACCTGAACCGAGTAGTGGCCATGCTTCTCGGGCCATCGCTTGTCGGTCACCATGTTCCCACCTTTCTTCACGCACAAAATGGTGGCTGGGACGGTCTTCACATTGCCATCCTCCTCTTCAAAGATTGTGGTCATATTCAACTTCTCCTTAATCACAGGAGCGAGGTAGAGTGGAGCAATTGGGCTGATGCTCAGCATGGATGGCAGCTGCCTTTCATCTAGCGAGTCATACTCATCTACTTGTGTGCTTGTCATGTCTCTCTGCTCTAACTCTAACCATCTCTATTCCTCTCTCGCATTCACCGTCTGGCTGCTTCTGTATCTCTATACAATCGCACCGTCCAACAAAGTCGAGTCCGGTCCGGCCACTACAACATCTATAACAGTCTTGCGGGTCTATTGTTTCTCTTGGCAATCTATGTATGGATACATAGCTCCTCCTTCTATCATGCATCCATCCATCCGTCCGTCCGTCCGTCCGTCCTTCCTTCCTTCCTTGCTTCCTTCCGTCCGTCCGTCCGTCCGTCCTTCCTTCCTTCCTTCCTTCCTTCCATGTATGCAGAGAAGAATGCATTGGCAAAGCTAGGCACGCACCTGCAAACTATGGCAAACTAAACATCTTCCACATCTTCCCTCACTTCCCACATCTTTCCATGGCCCAAGCATCCGCCCAAATGCCGACGCCGGGCTCAATGGTGGGCCTAGACAATCGATCCCACCAAGGAACTGCCTGGCCAAACCAAAGGAAGCGATGTCCAGCTAGAATGATGGAACAGCAGCAGCGATTCTAAGCCAAGGGATGCTTGGGTTGATGTGGTTGCATGGTCTTGATTGGTTTGATTGGGTCGGTTGGGTTGATCAGAGTCGTGTTAAGCAAAAAAACAACTAGATTGGAAGCACTACGAGGAATGCTTGTGTTGATTGCCAACAAGCAAAAGGGCTGACCATATGGTGCTAAAGAAAATGGATCCAAACTGTGCTATAGCTTTGGCTACGTCGTCTACATGACCTGCAAGAGCTGCACCCGGTGCCAAAAACCAACTACTCTCTCTCTCTCTCTCTTCACTCTTCCCCTGCCACGCCCTTCCCGCCCTAGGCCAGCCCTCCATGGGGGGCGGCCGCCCTTGGGCCTGATCGGGGCGCGTGGCGATCAGCGAAGCCTTGCGCGCAGTCTTGGACTTTCGGGATGTAGCTCCTGATCGCATGGTGACTGGCCAGGCAAGTAGTGATTCTTCGCCAGGCCACCTGTGCTAAGAATGTAAATGATCAGAAGGTCATGCGAAGCTGTGCCGCTTGGGACGGAGCTAAGCCTACAAATGTGTTGCCCTTAGGCTTGAAACGGTTGTGTGAGCTTTCTTGTGCCCTGACTAGTAGTCAAACGCGTCGATGTCGATAAGCCCCATCCACCCAGAGACCACATCTACATATCCGTCTTATTTAAAAGGAAATTGTATATACACCTTTCAGTGCCTTTCAGTGCCTTTCAGGGTTGATCGCAGAAACTTCTTTGGGTAGTTTTTCCCCGGACCCATCAAAGCGAAACACCCAGAAACTCAAACTGGGTCAAGCTCCTGCCAGCGCCGCCACTCCTGGCCGAAGACAGCACGCGCGGCCCGAGTTCGTTCATTCGTTCTTTTCGCTTCGCGTCGTTTTGCCCTTGCGACTTTTGGGGTCGAGCACGTGGGTCCGGTTCGACCCACCTGGTCGAGGCCTCTTAGAACTCTTGGCTCAAATCCCCAAGATCATGTTTGACAAAGTTCCAATATAAACCAGCATTTGGGGAATTGAGCCAAGACGAGTCTTGTGCAAGATATACTTCAACGTTTGAGACGCAGTTTGGATGTGGAGTACGAAAACAGGATTTATAACTGCCTGGTTGAAGGGGACAAGTGAGACCAAGAAAAGCAATCGTTAGGGTGGTCTTCTGCCGATGGATTACTTGTATGGTGGTGCACAGGAACTGGCTTCTACCATATTTAGTGACCTTCAGCTTCTGGCCCCTTCAAAAGAATCACTTGGTCTCCCTCTCTTTCTCAATCTCTCGTTGTCATTCTCTCTGTTTCTCGGACCCAGTCCTGCCAGGGCAACGACCGGCCACGTTGGCGCAGCAAAACTTGCGTTGCCATGACTTGCATTCCGTGGCTGCGTCGAGAGACCCACACGCGGCAAGGAGCTGGAAATTGGAGCCTGCGCTGTGACATTGGAACAACATCCGGACAGAAACAATTCACTTATTTTCTCCAGATCGGACTAAAGCTGGTCCTCAAGACCATACGTCAACACAACGGAATCCACCATCCAAATGACATCCAACTCCAAACTCAATGAGAGGAGCAAAAGAGTCCGCCTAGACCTTTCCAGTGCATACAACAACATCTCAAAAAGTCTTCCAACTTCTAGAGCTCACTCAGCTCACTCCGCTCAAACCTGCCCTGTCAGCACTCACAGGCCGGACCAGGCCAGCGGCCTGCACAAAGCAGCTCCCGAGCCATGTGACCGCCAGGGCAGACCCCACGGCCATCAATGCCACACGCGAGCGCGCCATTGACGCGACGCGCCCGAATCACGTGGGCGAAACGACGCAGGTGCTAAGCCCGCGGGCTGCGGGGCTGGGCGGGCCGAGCAGGGCGGTGTGGCAACTCTGGCAACTGGAAAGCACACCAGTTGACCCGAACCATCTTTCATTATCAAACTCAGAAGATAAATTAAGTAGTCTTTTCTCTAGGACCATGCGTTTTTGGAGGTGGGTACCACATGTCACATATGATACACAGTTTCATGCCCAGCCATGAAGAATCTTCATGCTCACTCCCAAGGACCGCCCTATGGAAGGAACCTCAGCTCAACCGCAGCTCATTGGATCCAGTGCAACCTCCATCTTCGCCGTGACTAGCGAATTTGATGAAGCCGAAAGTCATGCTCGTGTGAGGCAAACACTTCAGCTGGTTGGCCCTGGTTGAGGGATGCACCCCACGTTCCATGAGACCCATAACGTTCCGGTTCGCTTCGACAGGGGCCCTGGGGTCTCAAGACAGATCTTTTCATGGACGGAAATCATATGCAAACAAGTAGGAGACTGGTCCCATGGCCCTTCCCTTTCCTGAGACCCTGACAGACACGGATCGCCCTGACACAGTGACGGCGGATGCGCCAGCTTGTCTAGAGATGGTTTATTGGCATCTCGGACCGAACGGACCTAGGGCTGTCCTCGCCACAGTTGAAATGTTTACTTACTTGTGTACACTGCCTCTGACCTTAGCAAAGGCGGTGAAAACATGTGAACACTCGATTCCACTCTGCGCTGCAAAGCTCATGCGCTCATGATTCAGCTGCTGATTCTAAACCTCTGTTTTTAGATCATGATTCATGACAGATCGAGTGAAAGCCCCAAAGTTGATTGAAGAGCAGGCGTTGATCCTGCTTCCTCACTAACACGAAAACGATAGATCGTTCCCATCTATATGACCTTCAATCGAACAAGTAACAAGAATGTTGTTGAATATGTGCGCAATAATTCCACTTGCAGTTGCTATCTGTCCGCTTTGTGGGTCCATCAGATTGATGGCACGCAGACTGATATGTGTTCCAACCTTTATTCAAACAACTCCGATCATCATGAATCGTCCGTAAACACGGGACTGTTTCAACACTCACTGTCTCACGCCAATGGTGGTCATTCTCCTAGACTGCCCCACAGACCCCATGAGCTCCCGTGCCTGGTGCTCGCGCTTCTTGGAAAGCTTGAAGCCATGAGCTCCGCATTATTTAAAAATAGTCGTTCATTGGATTCAATGCGTTCAGTGGCTAAGCTGAATCAGCTATAGGTTCTAAAGACCCACCTGGCAGATACCAGCATGCTTGCCGAGCTTGCCCCATCATTTACCGTGAATTGTTGCAGCCCTGCACATCTTTGCTGCGTCCTGATGTTGTCTCACCACGGCTGTAGTGAAGGATGGGAGAATGGGTGTTCACTGGCTAAGCTTAATGAGGAGCGAAGGCAGGCTGCTTTCAACCTGGCTTTTCCATTAGTGTCCCGGATCAGCAACCCTTAGAAGCCAGAATCGGGGCCCCATCCGTGGGAGCTGGAGTTAAAAGAGCTTGTGTTTGAGAGTCACATGAACAGCCATTTGCACAAACGCATACCTTCGTATTCTCTTGACTAGAGAGTCTTGAGACGGCGTCTGCTTCGTATATGCTGATAACAGGCAAATTTGGACAGAATCTTACCACATCAGCACACCTCTTCACTACAGCCTACGGCTCAATGTTCCTCATCTGGACTTGGGATCCACGAACGTTTTCCTAGCCAACCTGCAAGACAGCATCTGTTTCTCTCGCGCCTTCTCTAGTAAATCTACCGATGCACATGGCCAGACAACCATTGCTGGCAGCCCAGCTGGGGCAGTGTCAATCTCGGATCCCGTTCACGCTACCAGCCCTTCATCCAAGCAAATCATATCCATAGGCTAATAGGCCAAACACGGCCAAACTGGATTGGCTCCTGTTCGCCGGTGTATCAACTGGGTCCAACTTCGCTCTGTTTGATCCGAAAAAAAGGTCGAGTCTGGGACCTCTTTCAGCCACCACCCCTCGTAGTGTCAGGGTCTGGATCACTGGCAGTCAAGCACACCATACACCCACAGAACAGCCAATTCTTTTGCGCAACGTGGTTTCAACGCATCACTAGATCATTTCAACCTTGTCATTTTGCATGTCTGGCAAGTACTTTCTGTGCCAGGATCGCCTCGATATGCCATGCAATGAGCGAATTCTGTGTCTGTCAAGCAGCCCACTGCCAAAACTGCAACAACAGCTGGCCCTTTTCAATCTTCAGCCATAGAAAACGAAAAAAGATTAGGAAAGACAAAAGCAACACCCTCTTGTGGTGGACCATTTTGGAGTCTCCATGATCTGCCCTGTCGCGCAGCAGTGGCCGCCGTTGACTGGCCTCCGAAGACCGGCTCTTGCGATCTGGCGGCCCGTCGAGCGGAGCAGCGCAATGCGCTGTGCTGCGCAGCTACGCCCCGCCACTCGTGGCGTTCCTGGCCTTGCGGCAGAAAACGTGAATCATGATGGAACCCTGCAGGAGTATCAGTAGTGGCCAGTATGGTCGCAAGTGAGGGTTCATCCACACTACAACCGAGGGTGCAACACAATCTGGTTTTGACCGGTGTATAAGCGCATGTCAGCTGGTCATGTGTGAGGTTCTCTGCCTTTGACGCTTGAATTTGCCGGGCTCTCAAGGGCTACATACTGTTTGCAAAAGTGTACTTGGGCTGTTAAAAGTCTTTGATGTTGGGTGCCGGCAGAGTGCGTGTGTGAGAACGAAGTCTTCGCTAGCTAGCGTTTCCTGGCTGCCGAAGTCCTATTGATATATAAATCGCATGGGAAACTAAGCAAACCATGCAGCCCTTCAAATGGGGTACATCCCTGTTGAGTTCAAGATCATTCACCAAAACAAGCAGAGTTGAGGCTCTGGCATGTGTTGTGACCCAAGCGAAGTTGCCCGGCATGGAAGCGTCGAGCCGCACAAAAGCTTCTTGCAGAAGAGCAAGCTCTTCCTCTTTTTCTTTCAGTCGCCCTTCAAGCATCTCCACCTGCTCTGCACCTGTGGCAAGGAGCCAATGAACCATGCTATAAAACAAAACAAATCGATGCAGGTGGAATCCTCTGGATGACCCACAACCCTCCAGCAAACTCGGGCAAGTCTTTTCCTTTCAATTCCCTGTGGACTTGACACAAGATGCCCGTGTAAATGTTGCTATTCAGAGAATTTCCTTCCATGAACGTGTAGACCTTGTCGTCCAAGGTCTGTTCCACCAAGATTGCGATCTGTCCCTTCAAGATCGTGAAGTACTTATCTGCTGCTTTGTTGAGCCCATCCACGTCCACCCTCTGGTAATCTTCTACAGGAAAGTCTTCGCCGCCACCTTCTACAAAGTTGGTCATCGCAGGCATGCGTTGGGCCACCTGGACGTCATCCGTGTCTGCTTCACCATCCAATAATCCTTGCAATACTTTCAGGTACTGCTTAATACCCTTGAAGCAGCTACAGCTCACGGTCTGCGCCCAACAACTGTCCTTCCTGGGCCTGGCTCCTGCAAGCATGGCTAGATCAAGGTGCTTCTGCATCAGGTCCACGCGGACAGATGCAGTACTGTGCTGAACAAGATCCTGAAGGAACTCGTTGCCCTTTCCAAGCTGTGAGACAACGAGACGTTCATATGTGGAATCCAGAAGGTTCTTGAAGTTGGTCTGATCCTTCATCATAGCGTGTTGGTTGGAAAGAAGTTCGTGGATCTTTGCCACAGGGGCCTTAGCCGTACAGTGGCCTTTAATGCAACTGCTCATTGCGGAGAGGGTTGCTTCGCAAGAATGTTTACAGTATTCTAATGTATTCTACTTCCTGCTTGCAATGGATTCCCCAATTTGATAGGACCAACCTGAACTAGGAATGATTTGATCATCAATGCCCTTCACGACCAAAGCATGTGATACAAGAAAAAGTAGAAAGCTCACAAGCAGAACAATTTGGAAATTAGTGAAGGCAAAACACCTTATAGATTCGTTCAACATGTTCGCATAGCACTTCGATGATCTCCTGGACATCTAAGAGTCGTTCGGTGACCATGTCCTTGATGACTGCATGCTTATTGAAGCTGCCGGTCATACCATTGTTTGAATACCCACTCTTGCTGTAGACCTCCTCCAGGCTAAACTCCCGCATTTCATGAGCAAAAATTGCATGTTGGTAGACCCTGATGGCCCGGCCAAGGGCTGCATGAGGTGTGAGTTTCATGTCCATCTGCTTCCCTGTGAATGTTCCATCGACCATCGAGCTCAACTGCTTCAAAGGCAGGCGTTTCTGCAGAGGGAGGGGCAAGTCGGAGCGCTCCTGCATGACACTAAAACCGTAAGTGTGAAAACACGAAAGGTATGGAGTGTGGAGTCCAACGTGTTTGGCG